TTCAGGTTTAATATTTCGATAGCTATTAGGCAATAATCCTAAATTTAATATTTGTTAGAATATTATTTTACAAATATTAATTATAAAAAAACCTATCTAACAAACCATGAAAAACATCAAAAAGCATATAATAGCCTATAATTATATACATATTTATACAGATATAAAGAAAGATAAAGGTTCAGCATAATTTTTTCTTACTATATTTTTGCTTAATTAACTTAATAATTGTTATTAGTTTTTTATAAACTTTGTTTAAAAATTCTTGTTTTACAATTTGGTATACTAATATCTAATATATTTTAATAAAATTAATTAATATTTGATAATTAATTTTCAAAAAATATTTTTATAAAACAATAGTTGCATATATTATGAAAAAATTCTTCCATTGATCAGTAGTAAAGTTTGAAAAGTCTTTTTCACAGTTTATTTTTCTTGGGATTTAACCAATGTCAAATGATACTTGAAAATTTTTCATTGTTGTTTGTATTTCATCTAATGCATTATTTGTTAATATTTCTTTTTCAATTAATATTTGTTTAACAAGCTATTTATCAATACTTAAAAAAAGATACTCAGTAAGTCATCAGTGCTGTCATGTTCATGCCTATACATTAGTATTCACATTATTATTCTTTTCAAAGTTATCTATTTGATATTAATACATGATAGGTTGTTAGTAATAATAATAATATTATTGTTATTGTTGACATTATTGTAGTAACCAATAATACAATTTTGATAAATTGTAATTGGTTGAAATGTAATGTCAATCTTTTGATAGGAGTAAACTGATTTTAGTTTTTTGTTATAAAGAAAAAAGAAAATTGTGTTTATATATATAAATAAAAAAGATGTCAAATCAAAGGCCTTTCTCTATACAACCTTTATTTACAAGATGCCCAGTCTTGAGAAATCCAACTAAAAGTTCCATTCTTATACAGCTTGAGTTTTTACAATTAAACTCTTAAAGTTAACTTAGATATAACAGGTCTTTAAAGTATAGGGAACTTTTTATATTGATATTGACAGAGGTAACTATTTGTCCTTAATAATTTTATAAGTAAACACTTCTCCCTATTATCATCTTTAATTTTTATTTCTTGATCACCATAATAAAAAGTTAATTGATATTTAATTGTAATATCATACAATCTTTTTTTTTTTTTAATTACCAGAATCTCTGGATTTTGAAACAATAGTAGATAACAATATCATTCATTTGATAAGTATAAATAAAATAATTTGATTGTTTTTAATTATTTTTTAAACCAATTCGAATTTAATTAAATAAAAACTTCTGACAAAAATAAAAAATTATTGTGACAGAGCTAGTCTTTTATCCAATAAGTTCAGGATTTAACCTTTTGTCCATAACATCTGGAACTATACAATCTAAATCTCTTAGGCTATAGTATAAAAGAAATAACCAGTTGGTTTTTTAGAAAAAAATTTTTGTTTTTGATAGTAATAAAGGAAGGAAAAAAGTTTCTTTTAAAGAAAGAAATAATTCAATAAGCCCTTCAATATTTGTCTCATTAAAGTTTTCTAAAAAGAAAAAATTTTTAAAATTTGAGAAAAATAGAAAAGAGTTTATATATTGTATTATTATTACTTTTTTTTTTTGAGATGAAAGGTGCATGCAGTACATGATTTTTATTGAGTGATTTATATCCAATTACAGTACTATAATGGTTCATTTAAGTTAACCTGCTACCCCACCTATTAAACCTGTTGATCTAGTATGTACTCTGAAAATGAACCTACGTTTTTTGGAAGGAACCTATCTAGAAGGTAAAAATCCTACCACTGGTTTTAAACCACCTAACCTATTGATCCAGGTTGTGTTCGGACAGGATGTGTTAATGGAACTGGCTCGAGATACCCTTGAGTCTTCTTCACCTAATTAGGCTAAAACTGATTACAGAAGAGAAGTAGAACACATATCGATTAGGATTGTTTAGGATGGAGTATAGCCCAGTCTGTACATCCAAACATTTGATATGCTCATTTTGCCAACGATTATCATAACACTGACCAGATGATCGTCGCACCTCTACACCTTTTATGGAGGTTACAATCTCAATACCTGTTGAATCAGCATGTGAACTGGCTTCCTATGAAAAACAACACATTTCAGGTTATAGCGCCAGATACTATATTAATACTATTCAATCACCTTCACATGAAGTTGAACTAGTATCTTGTGATCTGATCTGTGAAGCACTAATCACTGTGCTATAAATCTACAGGTCTTATATATTATATTATTATTATTTATAAATAAATTAATATATATATATTTAATAGTTTTATTTTGGAAGTTTGGTTTATTTTTTAGTTATATAAAGAAAAGTCTATAGCAGTTTTTTTTTCTTTTGTTCTTTTGTATATATCTTTATTCTTATTATATTATAAAAACTATCCATATCAATATTATTACACTTACTAAACAAAATACTTTTCAAAAAACATACTTAAACAAATTATTAGATCTAATGTTTATTTCAAAACAATTTTTATATACAATATCACCATGACAATATTTGTTATATTATTTTAAATTTTTCAAAATATTTTATTCAAAAAACTGAAATTAATTTATTTCTTTTAAATAGAATTTTAAATTAAGTATTAAAATAATACTAACTTGATATTGACTAGGGTTCTAAACTGAATATCAAAATAATACCAACTTATTATAAAGTTAATATATAAATTGTAATTTACTATATTAAACTTATAGTAAATTCAGTATTAATTTGATATTGAAATGGTATTGTTAAGAATCTTATATTTAAATAATTGTTACTTTTAAATTATTTAATTAAATTTCATTAAAATATTAAAACAAAAACTAAACTTATTAAAATCAGTTTTTCAGTATAACAATAACAATAATAATAATAATTTCAAATAATATTAATTATACTATAATTTTTTTATTACCAAAATATATATTGACAATTGAAAAACTTAATAAATTTTAGTTTTTTTTTATAATCAAACAAGTGATTTCTTTGAAAATATAATCCTTACTATTATAAATTTTATTGATTATTTAATTTAATTTCAGTCTTAATTATTTTATTATTATACATATTTTCATTTATTGTTTTTTCATTTATATTTTATTTTTAAAATTCAAAAGATTTCTTAAAATTTGTCAAGTAGATAAGTAAAGTTTATTTTTTATTTAATATTTTAATATTGCTTTTGAAAAATTTTTTAATATTAATTAAATATTGTAAAATAAGCAAGCTAATATTTAATTTGTTATATTTTATATATAAGAGATGTTATTTTTTTTATAATATATATATTTATATATGAATAATTATTTTTGAAGGTAACAAAAATACTAGATATGATTTTTCAGATCCAGCTTTTAAACAATATGTATATAATTTAAATTTTAGGATCATATTAGAAAATTTTCAGTTCATCTTTGAAAATAATTACCCATATACAAATTAAATAAAGAAATAATATTTATTTACTGGAGAAAATCTTTCTCTTCAAAAAAAATTTTAAGTTTAATTAAAAAAAAAATATAGTTTAATATAATAGAATTAATAAATAAATTAATTTTATTAATTCCAAAGTATGGTTTAAACTTATATATTAATATTAACATTAATATATTATTTAAAATATATTATAATTATATAAATTTATAATTTAATATAATAAATTCACAATATAATATAATATAAATATAATAAAATAAATAAAATAATTTAATTTTGAAATATTATTCAAACTTATATGCTATTATTTATATATTGTTATATTTATTAATTTATTATAATCATTTAAAATTTATAATTTAATATAATATCAATATAATAAAATTAATAATTATTTAATCCTAAGCATATATGCTATTATAATATTATATTATATACTATATAATCATTGTTACATTATTAAAATTATATAATTATTTAATATAATTATTTAAATTTATAATTTAAACTAATTTTATTAATCCCGGAATATATCCCGGGCTTATATGCTAGTTTAAACATACTCTTTTTAGGTTGTTATGAACTTCGAATTTAATAACTAAACAATATAAACTTGACCATTGTATAAATTCATGTAAAGAAAATATTGTTTCCTTTTCAAAATTTTCGAGAAGATACATAATTAAAATAACCTGTTTGTTGCAGGTTAAAAAAGAAACCTCAGTGACATTCAATTCTTTCTTGTTGTATTGAATAATATCTGGTTTCACAATTCTCCAACAAAAGTGTACATACGTTCCCCTTAGGAACAACGTGTGGCGATCTACGAATAATTTATATGAAATATGTACGTAATAAATTTGTGCAACATCGGTACATCGTCCCTTAGTAGAATCCGCCGAAGATCGTCACGTGATTATAATTTATAAAAACACGAGTATGATTATATTATATATTCATATAATAATCCACATTTTTCAGATTAAAACAATATGAGTATAAACAAACTAATAATATATTAATTTAAGTAAGGGAATGATAAGATAATCGAGTCCAGCTCTTGTTCTTATTAAATGATCCTCTCTTTAAACTCAGATTAATCACATTCGGTGAATTTAAATAAATATTTATCGATCAGGAAGAGAATGGCATTAATATAAGAGGACAAGTGCAAGAATATGGTAAATAAAATAATAATAAACTAAAGATATATAAAGCTCATTTCAGGACCAGGAAGCCAAAAATGAAATAACACATGCGCCCGTTTTAACAATTAGTTAAAATAGAAGGTTCTAATGATCAAAAAAAAAAAAATACAGTAAAGAAAAAGTATTATCTATCAAACATCTACATACATACAACCTATCCCATTCTCTCCGATCGAAGAGTGAACGAATGATTTGTGTGATGAAGTATTTTGAGACTGTGCATAAATATGAATGGAAAAGGATGATTTTTATAACTTTTTCTTTTCCGGTTTTGTGTTCGATATTATATATTATAAAAAAAATTTTTTTCCTTTTTTTTTTACATAACGACGCAACAACAACCACCATCATCGCCACCATCATTTGAATATTCATGACCACTTCCCATGCCACTTGTTGGGTTTCTACCTCCGAATTGTTGTTCTTTATTATATTTTCGGATTTCTCGAACGAGGTTGTAGAATGCTTCGTCCACATTAATACGTTGCTTAGCAGATGTTTCGATGAATCGGCAACTAAATTGTTTAGCAAATTCTCGTCCCTCTGAAAGTGGAAAAATAATAATTAATTGTTAATCTAGACATTATTAAATAAAAAAATTTAATTTTACAAACCATGTCCTGATACTTGTCTTTCCATTTCCAAATCACATTTATTAGCAACCACAATTATCGGGAAATAATCCTTGTCTTTAACCCTGAGAATTTGTTGATGGAAAGTAGAAATTTCATCAAACGAATTGCGAGATGTGATAGAATATACTAGAAGGAATCCTTCACCATTACGCATATATTGTTCGCGCATGGCACTAAAATATTAATAAAAGTACGATCAATAATTTAATCTATTAAAACAAAGTATATAAAAGCAACTTGACGCACACCTGTATTCTTCTTGACCTGCTGTATCTAACACATCTAATAGAGCAACTTCGTCATCAATGACGCATTGCTTACGATAGGAATCTGAGATTGATAAATTAAAAATTAATTATAGTTGATGTTGAACGCATCATTATGTAGAAATATATCTATCATAAATCAACAAAATGCCTAAAAAATACATGTATATATAAATAATGCTCTTTATATCTCAATACAGCATTAGTATTGACCATTTATACCTTACCCTCAATAGTAGGATCGTACTCGTCGACAAAATGCGATTGGATAAACTGAATTGTAAGAGCGGATTTGCCAACACCTGTTAAAATAAAGAAATAAGATGATGAGTGAGTAAAAATTCAAATATAAAAAAATTGGTTCATGAAAACGGCGCAATGAACTTTTTGAGCTGTAAGATTATAAGCAGGGTATTACGTAGTCGTAAGACGAATTTACTGCTCCTCATCTAATCAACTTGGGGGAAACTAAACTTCTGGAATCCATCTGAGATGTGCGAAAAAAAAAAAAATAAAGATCTCAAGTAACATACCACCACCACCAACAACCACAAGCTTATATTCTCTCAAAAATTGAGCCTTAGACATATTTATGCGCACGATTATTTATGGTATATAGAAGATAGGAATGACCTTATAGAGAAGGTACTAGTGGAAAGGTAGTAATAGGGAAAAGTGGTAAAGAGCGTGAGAGCAAATGGAAAAAGGATAAAGTTTATTATTAATATGATTGCGCAACAACGGAGTGGTCAACCATAGTAGTCTTAGAGGAAAATTTCCCGGGCAATACATCTTTATCCTTTGGGAAATGATCGATGCGTATTACTATTTATAATAAATTAATTGGATTATATAATTAATTAGATTATATAATTAAAAGATAATCTTAAAATTTTATAACATAATATACGTATTATAAACTTTTTAAAAATATAGTATAAAAATAAAATTATATTTAAATTAAAAATAATTTTACTTAAGATTATTTATTATTTATTTATATATATTTATAAATAATTAATAAATATATTAAAAAATCTATAAATAATATATATACAGTATATATATTTTTAATAAATATTAAATATAATGTTTTTTATTTTTTATTTTTTTTAATAAATAAATATTATTTCTTTATTTGATTTGTATATATTAGGATATACTGTTTTGTTTTTTTTTTTAATCCCGCAATCAGGTTGGTGTTGTTTATTTATTTAATTATAAAGAATCATTACAAGTTGTAAAGTATAAATTTCCTCGACCCAACTCACTCGTCTTTAGCCAAAGCCTCTAGATGCGATTTATGGGAGTAATAATGTTGTTCCTCTAGTGGATGAAATTAAGATTCCAGATTTCCAGCAGGATCAAAACCTGCAGATTACCTCTGCAGTCACGACCATAAATCCAAATTGTGTCATTCCCCTCTTGTAGTAACTACGCAAGGGGAAAAAGGAATAAAAAAGGAATTTTTTTAAACAGAAGATAAGAAAAAAAGCTATTGTCTATTCTAACTATCATTGAAGAGGTTATCTCTGTAAACTTCAAAAACCCAAGCCCCTCATGA